TTGAACTTTCTCTTTAAATCTAATGCACAAGGTTGACATTAATGTATTTTTATCTAATGAGACCATGTTATATTACTTAAACATATATCTATAGTATTCAAGCTTCGTACCTCTATGATAACAAAAAAACAAGCATGTCATTATTTTTTTAGCCACTATAGTAACACTTCTTGGTCAAATAATCAATATGTATATAATTATGAAGCCAAAGATTACATTACTATTTTGAAAAATCTCTCCAAGTAGCTAGCATTGCTACATAATGATACTTGTTATAACAAACTTGATACTTTCAAAGACACCTTTAATACAAGATTCAAACAAAAGACATTTTTATGCAACATTTGTAACATATTAGAATACCATGCAATGATATGTTTACTTAGATCATTTATATTCAAGCAATTAAGAGATATGAAAAAAGATCTAGAAGCACAAAAGGTCCATTTAAATAAGATGCCACATTTTTTAATAGCAACGATATAAAGGCCTTTATAAGACCACTCATTTTCATGTCGATTGCTTTTTTTTAATTCAATTGCTCTTTAGCTTCTAAATCTAATATTTTAATACAATCCTAAATTGTATTGGAACTAATCTAAAGAAACAATTTATCTTTGACAATTAATATGGAATATAATGTAATTGCACTTGAATTCACAATCATAAAACTTCTTAATCTACAAATCACACCTCTCAATATTCATATAACTATTGTAAATAGTAGCACTTATTGTCTTTTTGAAATAGTCTTAATCATTATACACATTTTAGGCATCAAGACTATTATTAATATCATCCTTAGCTTCAAAGATAAGGTACTTTGTGGCCATTATTGGATAATTTAAACCTCCTATCTACCAAATGTGGTTGATCAATATATGACACTCAACCTATTCAACATAACACTCTAAGTAATATCACTATTAGTAGTGATTATGGTACTAAGAATTAGCAATACAATTCTTGAATCTCCCATTCTTGTAGCCAACTACAAATACTACAACTCCTTGGTTTTCAACAACTTTTGAGTATTCAATGATTGTCTCTATATTTAGATGTTTTTTAATTACAAGCAAAGAATACAACTTCTAATATCAGCATCACAACAATCTATATTTATTTGGATTGTACAAACTTTCACCATTCTCTTCTTTTCATAGTATGTTCACTGTACAAAATTCGCTCTACTTTGTCCAACCAAATATTACATGGACATTCAATCATAGTAATGGCTTATAGAGTATTATTGTACTATCATTTGTACATAGAATTTAAGACTGCTATTACCAAGGAAAGATCACCACATTGATTGTCAATCTCTTGGTCTTTTTTATACATATTCAAGTTAATCAAATCTTGATCCCACTTGTAATAATTCCTACTAAAGATATTATTTGGTTCTCCTTAACTAGTGACACTAATATCAGCTTCAATGACACATTACAATCCAACTTGATTAGAATATCAATGATAAGAATATACAATCCTATATGCATTTTGCTACCAAATCAATAATAATTCATCACTACTATGTGAAATATCCATCTTAACATTATTTAACAATCAATCAATGACATCACATAACTAGACTAATATATAAGAACCTGAGTGTTTTGAGTATATGATTAATAAGCCTTGAAAAAACTATTCTATTGGAATATAATATGGTCACTAGTGTTATACCTGTTAGCAAGTTGGATACAAAGAAATCAACAAAAGGCATGATATAATCAATGAAGAAATAAAAAAGTAAATTGATGCAACTATGGCCAATCCATCTCTTTTTTTGTAGGCATCAGTAGTAGTTTTATTCAAGAAAAAGGATAATAGCATGTAATTTTATATTGATTATCAATAATTGAATGACATTACTAAAAAAAGATACATATCTACTATTGCAAATTGATGACACTTTAGATCAACTTCAAGGTGTTACTATATCTTCTTTCATTGACCTTACTAAAAGCTTCTAGCAAGTATTGTTATCTCAAACTGTTAAAGAGAAGACAACCTTTATCTGTTAATATAGATTATTTTAGTTCAATATAATGCTGATTGAACTTTGTAATATATCACATACATTCTAATATTTGATAGACATAATACTAAAAAAATTGCAATAGAAATGCAACTTAGTATATATAGACGACATCAACATATGTTCACAAGATTTGAATTCTCACCTCATAGATCTCATACATATCTTTGCTTATATGAGAATTATTAGGCTAAAATTCAAAGCAAAAAAGAATATGTAATTAAACTCCCAAAGCTCACTTATTTCAATTATGTTGTTTTTGTTGTTGACCTATGACCAAATTCCACCAAAATCTAGGCTATTTTACAATTTCCAACTTCCATCAATTTGGAGTGCACACAATCTTTTATTGGATTAGTTCATCATTATCAACGATTGGTGAAGAATTTTGCAATCACTATTGTACCTCTCTATATCCTCATGAAGAGAAATGTAGCTTTTATCTAGAAATTAGTAGAATAATCTGTCTTTGAGAAATTCAAAGTTGACCTATGTTTTGTTCTCTTGTTGATATACCTTCACTTCCACTTACTATTTATACAATAAACTAATACTCGTTGCAATGCTACTAGAGCCATTTTGAGCCAAAAATTCAAAGAAGTCAAGCATATGGTGGTCTTTGCATCTAGACACCTTTCAAAAGTTGAAAAAAATTAAAGGATCAATGATATTGATATTTGAAGTCAAGTATTTTTGTTTATATGTGTATGGCTCAAAATTTGTGATTGAAATAAATCATACAAATCTCTAAGCACTTGTGAAATTATAAGATCTTATAAGGCAATTGGTATAATAGGCACTACTTCTCTAAACTTACAACTGCACAATCATCTATAAATCCAATAAGTTATATGCCAATATAGATGCCCTAACTTGCACTAAATTCCAATCACTTCAATCCTACTCCACTTTTTAGGATGTAGATTCCATATAGCACCTATGCTATTTTTTGAACATCCAAAAGTCTAATGGATCCTAGAGCCTCACCATATTATTGTGACATCACTTCTTCACAACAAAATAAGATGGACATCTAACTATGTTTTGATAAAAGTATGACAATATAGCATGTCCTAGTTTTATCATTATTTTTGCCACGTTAGATGATTATATACATGATCATGACATATCTTGGTTTTTCTATGAAGATACTTGAAGCATATGTATGTCACTTCTTTCATATCAATAATATGCTCCTTTGCAAGGAATTACTTCACATGTAAGAATTTTTTAATAAATATGTTTAAACCATGACAAGCTCTATTATTGTGATGGCTTTATTTGAGCATTTAGAAGAAGAACTCATAGAGACAAGCACTCTTGACCTAGCCCACAAATAAGACAAACTACTTGGCATATAATGTGAGTATATATAATAGAAGTTATATTATTTGATGCTTTAATAGAAGCCTACCAAATTGGTTCAATTGCTATTGATTTAGATAAAACTTTAGTCAGAAGAGTGAGATACCATCTCTTTTAATACCTCACACAAGATGGTACTATCTTTTACAAAAAGTTTACTCCAAAAGATATTTGCATACTATAGGTGCTCAAGGTTTCTAAACTTCGTTAAATTCTAGAGTTATTCTATGTAGGACACATCTTGACAATGCAACACACACTCAAACAACTATAAGAGATATACTATTAGATCCAAATGGTTGACAAAGTGACAAGCTTTATTTATAAATGCTCCATATATCAAGAAAAATATATTCATGGCAAAAATACCACACTCCGCATATTGACTTTCATTTCTATCTTTAAATCTTTTGTACAAATTGAGATGAATCTAATAAATCTATTAATGATAAAAATGGGTAGTCACAAATATGTGATTGTTTCTACTTATTAACTCCTAAAGTAGATAGAATTACAAGCATTAAAAAATAAAGAGAGCAAGTAGATTATATTAAAAAAAAAAAAAAAAAAAAAAATGACTCTATCATGATATAGCATAGAGTCCTATTGAAATCTTTACTAATAATAGAAGTGAGTTCTATAATACACTAATGGATATATTGGTAATCCATCTTTGTACCAAATATATCACCACTTCACCTTACTACTTGCAATGCCATTGACTCATTGAACAATTCAATTGAATGTTATGTTCATTAAGAAAAATAGTGAGTAAGATAAATACTAGTACACAATGTTGTCAACAATCATTTTTGTATATCACACTAGTGTTCATTCAAGTACAAGTTTTTTACTCTTTGAAATGTTATATAGCTATAAATTATGACTTCTCATCATTCCAATAGATACAACCTCAACCATCATCAAGCTCACCGAATTGCATGGCTGTCTAGATGGATTATTACAACATCATGCCTATTTTAGCATACAAGTATATGACAACATCAACAAAGCACAATGCCTCCAAAAAAAGAGCATGATAAAAAAAATTATGTATACATGTGAATTTGTCACCAAAGCCAGAACACCTATGTGCACACCAATTCTATAGACCAAACCTGGTTTACCACCATGACTCAACTGCTCTGCAAAGAGCTGTTCGCCATCCTTCAAGCTGAATCTAGCAATTTTCAGTTTCGGGGTTCCAGGCAACGATGAGTCGAAGTTGCCTCATTTCAAACAAGGCCTTGCAATGCAATCTTGAAACTCCATGTTGTGAACGTAAAGCAGAGGTAAAATTGTACACGGGAAGGGATCACCTCGACATAAAAGAATCTGGACCCAGTTGGCAGTGTTTCAAGGACTTCCTAGAAAGGATCGAGTATGGCAAACCTTCCAAGATGGTTCTTTTTTCTGCGTTCAAAAGATTATATTGGATTAGAGTAGGAAATTCAAACATTTAGGTGGACAACAAGATCTTTGCTTCTTATCAAAAACTTATACTTGCATGACTATACAGTACTCTTGCTGCACTTACAAATTAGTGTGGAATAATTAATTATTGGAAGGTGAAAAATAAGCAGTTCACACATACACATTTGAAGACACTGGTGTGCTCCGTATTTGTGCAGAAATTCCATATTGGCTTTTTCTTTGTACAGTCGATTGTTTCTAGTTAGATTGTTTTGTCGAATAGAAAGATGGCAACAATAACTTCCTAACATGTAACTAAGCCATCATATAGAAAGCATGCCTGATTTCAAAGATAGTACGAATGAACCAGCACGTGAAGCATAAAATTTACAGTCTTACATTGACTGTGAACAAGTAGCATGTGATGATGTGACAATCACGTTCTGTACGTAAAACAAATATAAAACGAATGTCGGCTGGACGTCAACACTGGAAGGATATTTTCACTTAAAACAAAGACTGCAAAGTAGCACATGGCGAAAGAAGTATGGGGACATCTTGCCTGCTACTGCTCTGGAGAAGTTTCATCTGATTTCCAGAAATGCTGTAATTGGTAGATTAGGATTGGTAATCACCAGAACTTCCTGTTGAATTGTTGTGTGGAGCAGCATAACTGTTTCCAATAAAAGTAGGTCTGCCCCATTTCTCGCCAACAGTGAGACTGAAATAGGCAATTCATTCCTTCCCACTGGAATTACCACCTGCGCATACAGACCAAAATTTACAGTATGAGAAAAAGCAGGTGCAGCATGAATATTGACAAGATCAACAGTTAGCGGTGTAGACAACTCGAGAAACTTTTCCTAATTTAAAACAACATACCTCGGTCTCCCTTACAGCTTTGAATACAATTCTTGATGCCATTACCTGACAGCACCTCGACAAAGAAGAAAGGCTCATAAGAGCTTGTGTTTTATACTCAAAAGTTTCTAATTCATTAGATACTGCAGCCGATTTTGGTGGTAAAGAAGGTAATGCAGGAACCACCAGAATTGCATCGTTCTGCAATGTGTCGAAAGAGAGATCAATCTTAGTGGATAGTCAGCCGAGGTTCACATTAAGTGATTTTCTTTCTTTCTACAACCTAGTAACCAAATCGCAGATTCATTTGTAGACATTACAACAAGAAAATTAATAGTTTCTGAAGCATTTCTAGAGCGAACTGATATCAAGCAAAAGGGAGAAAATAATAAAATAAAATAAAATAAAATAAAATTTTAAAAAAAGGTGAGGGGGGGGGGATGACCATCATGCCTTGAGAAGGTTGTTCATTAAGGAACTTATCTCCTCCCGCACCTGTATTGCAATGACCCTAAGCGCTTCAGAATCGGGCAACAACACGGCTTTGTGAACTCGTGATTCAACTGTTCTCGTTAGATATGGCTTCGCCTTAGCAATCCATTCTCCATGATTGCCTTTGAACTCGTGCCTGTACATCGATCAGAAATATTACGTACCTGATTTACAGTCGTGATCATGAGGACACGTTGAAATAAACATAAATTTGAAGAACTGATTCATTATCAGCTTCCTTCTTTTGATCCGACAAATCGATTTAACAATATTTACTCTCCACTTTAGAGACTTTTATATTATGTTCCCCGGTCTTAGCAGCTAAAGTGGTAGCCATCCATATGCTCACATAAGGCATTCAATATAATAGTTTCTACCATTTAGGTGGTTGGACGTTGCAGAAACAAACTCTAATCTAGATAAGCAAGTTACCATATTAATATGTTCAACCCACCTCTGGAACAAAAGCATACTCTCTCGAAGCACATCAAGAGCTGTGTACTGGGAAGAATCGAGACCCATGCGCTCTAGTTCTTTCTTAAAAGTTTGAATTGCAGGAGCGTGGTCCTCTAGGTACTCGATGAAGTTGAGGTTACATAATGTATGACCTGTAGTCATGACACAAGTCGATAAGTATGACCGGCTCGACTCTCAATCGTCACAGAATATTCAGTGGACCACTCTGTGGATGATGATGATGGACAAATTTTACAATCCTATCTCAAGCCATAAGTGCAATCATGTCAACTGTTCACTGTTCTCAATGTTAAAAACCGCAGCTCAAGCAATGTCTGGTGAATTACGTCCAACAGTTCGTTGGACTGATCTGGCCAACACATCTGCAGTTCGTAAATGAGATACGGCTGACAGTTTGAACACATCATGCGCCATGTAAAATCGCTTAGGGCCCTTGCCATCCATCACTACATGAGGACATAATTGTCGGCCAACTAGGCGTAGCAAACCGGCATTTCTCGCGAACCAACCTGCAACATTTAACAACTTTCTTAGAACAAGAGTTGCTCAAAAGCACTACGGAGTTCACACGACTATAGGTAGAGACTCACTGCTATTGTAACCCATGCCAAATGTGCCAGAGTCAGCTTATCTAGCACATAGTTTTCCTCCAGTTTGGAAAGGATGACTTCAATCGTATCTTCAGTAATGTTAAGTGACTCTCGCAAAGTAGTCCAAAACAAGCTTATGTTTTCTCCTTGTGCCTTAATTAAAGCAAACTGGAGTGTAAGACAGCAAAATGTCTATAACAGTTCAATCACGATAAGGTGCTTCGAAGTAAAGAAAATTTCTCGCAGTAGCTCACCTACGGCATCGAAACTGGAGGCCACTGGAATTGTACCCTCCAACGAAATGGCTCCGTGTGAAGAACGGAATCCCAAAACTCCACAACATGCAGCGGGTACTCTTACATCACCCACTGTGTCGATTCCTGAGGCACCAATTTTTAACTGAAAAGTGTTAAGCACATCTGCTACAACCTACCAGATGATACTTCAGATGATTAGCATAATGGTAATAAACAGTTTGTAGAAATGATACGAACATTTGACCATGCTCTTCCAGGGCAAAACTCACTAAACCCGGGCTAATAATTAGCCAACAGGAAGTAGTGAGTGTATTAGCCACTAAGATAACAGGAATTCTTACCAATAGCAAAATCAACAACCTTGCTACCCACTGAAACAGCTGCACCACTGGAAGAGCCTCCACAAATTCGAGAAGTGGAAAAAGGATTTTCCGGTGTTCCTAACCATCTGTTTGCCCCTAAAAGGCTGGGCACCCATTCCTATATAAGTGAATAAAATTTTACGAATGCAGGTCATAAAGTCTAAACGTCAAATGAAAAGCCCGAAAACATTTAGTTGAAAACAGATGACCTATAATTTGCAAAGTAATCAGTGACGAGAACAATCGTACATGCGAAATGTGAAGCGTCCACTGGCGTACACGACTAAAAAATACAGAAACGAACATGAGAATTCTTATATGAAAGCGCATGTCATGGAAGACAATCCTACCTCTGGTATTCCTACAGTATTTCTGAAAGCAACAAAAGTCATCCATGATATGTTGTGCTGCATTCAAAGTTGCTTTTTGAGACCAAAGTTCATAATAAGTGATGCTTCGTGAAGCTTAGCTCCAGTGCCTTCTCCCACCGCTTTGAGAAATTAAAATACCAGCAGTCATGGAAATTATAGTAGAAGAGAATCCATGCATAACGACTTTTGTTGTCTCAACTCGAGTGAGAACATGTTGCGTCAGCAAGGGTTAAATTGGACTTTGATTTAGTTCAACCAGCTTTAGAACTAATCAAGCAATACATGCCACATCTCACCAAAGTATGATGATTAGCATCGATACCAGAAACCCATTTCGTCCATGATTGTCTTGCCAATGCAGGTTGCGCCAGCCTTCCTCAATTTTACCAAGACAGGTGCCGTTTTGATAGCTGGTTCATGCGAATTTTCCCAATCTGGACTACCAAAACCTGTAATCTTCTTTTCCACATCGAATCTGAATGCCCTCAAGCAAATTTAAAAGTACACTTGATTAATTGTTTCATTCGATCAACGTTACCAGCGTAAAGCATTCTATCTTGCATGCCCCTCCCACCCTTAATCGAGAATTTTCAAGGTGCATTGCAGGAAACTACAAAGGGCAGCTCATAATGTGCATTTCTTAACATGAAGCAATGGGAAAAATCTCTCCGAGGTCATACAGGGGTTGGGAGTAATAAAATCGGGGAATGACTTACGAATCCTGAGCACAAAACTTTCGTTTATAAAGAGCATCTTCAAAGTGATAGACATCAGGTTTCAATTGGACGTAGTGACATATTGAAGGATGACGATTTTTTCGCAGTCTATTTCCACCTTTTGCAAAAAGGTTGGTTATCCTGGAGCCGATATTGAGAACCTTTCTATGACCCTTGACATTTCCAATATTCCCATTGGTGACGATTATGCCGGCCACGCCCAACCCCATGAGAAACCATGCTTTCTTTGGAATCCGTCTCAACAATGCAGCCAAGCTTGACTTAAAACCTCCTTCATTATCGACATGAATGAAGTCGCTGACAGTTTCCATCGCATTTTGAACCTCGCCGTCGATAGCATTTTCCACAGCATCTATGCTACTACTCGCATCATGTTTAGCCATGCTCATTCACAATCTCGCAATATTTGCCAAACCGCTATCATCTTTCTGTATCCAGTTTACACACCACATGAGCACTGCAAAGAATATCAACGCCACCTTCGCTCCTGTTCGCTTTACCATCTTGACCTCCACGCCATTCTGCTCCATCAATTCTTTCTCATCTTCTTCTTCTTCTTCTTCTTCCAATTCTTAATGACCACCTCTCTCACCTTCCATGTACTCCATCGACGTACATATGAAACTCTTGACGTTTCTACATACCAGTATTCGCATTGCACAACATTTCCAAGCCTCCAAATCCATCAACACAGGGAACCTCTCCATTCTTACATCAATCACCAAACACTCGCACCATTATGCTGTAAAATTGCAAAACATTATATCCCATGCCTAAAAACCCTCTGCGTTATCGCCCATGCCAGTTAATCAACCTCCTGCGCGGCTCTAACGATAAGTTGCCTTCCACACAGACGGAATTGGTACAAGTCCTACGGTCGAATTCTAAGATCTGGACCAAAATGAATGCCATCCGACGAAAAGGGGCAAGGAAATGAAGAGAAAGCGAGAAGCGCCGAATGTTGCTTGCTTTCTCTTCCATGAGGCATGCATGGCCTTTGTGGAAAGCAAGCATCCACACATCCCGCTCCCGCGCGTCGTCGACTGCCCACGGCCATTCGCGGCCGTTTGCGTCTGTCTGTCGGCTACGAGAGTGCTATCAATGGCTCTCTCTCTCTCGATTGGTGATGGAGAAGGCAAATGGAGTTACGGTGCCTGCCCCATATTGTTGTGCATGAGTGGGTGATGAGTGCGGTTTGATATGAAGTGGGCTTTGGGTGTCTATCGAAACACTCTTTTAAAACGTACATACATCAGCGATACATGAAGGTGGAACATCTCCTCTCTACCAGAGTGTGCGATTATTCCCAGAATTTGATGGTGGTGAGGGTGACTGCGCATCTTCATTGAGAAAACGATAACGCCACGGGAGCGGAAGGTTCAGGCAGATGTGATGATGGCGAGAGAGCTGGATTCGTGGAAAACTACCCCGCCTTTTCGTCAAGTTACAAACCAACGCAGCTGGAATCTCAGGGACGGTATCCTATTCTTCTCCGTCGTCCATAGTCCTCTTCCGTACTGCCACCGAAGTCATTTGGTCGATTGGACCCAGTTGCAGTTACACTAAAGGGAAAATACAATGAAAAACATTGATCAGCAGGTGCCCCCAGTGAGGATCGAACTCACGACCTTTCCCTTACGAAGGGAACGCTCTACCACTAAGCCATGGAGGCTTTCTACCTCATCTTCCTGGCGAAACCGGACAAATATCAATATTTATTTAATTTTTCTAATTTAACCTCCTCTTCATTCCTTAAGACTGGGTTTGACTGGTCAACCTGAAACATAAGCACCAAATATGAAGGTATACTTTGACGACCACTGGAAAGACCATTTAACATTGGCATGCATAGTAGATAGTAGTCTAAGTGTACACAGCATGACAAAGTAAGTCTGGCAGGTTGAAGTTGCAAGGGGGAGAGGAAATTGACATAAGTTGGGTGGGGTAGGGTGGGATGAAGGAGGTCTATAACTCCCACTCTATTCATGCCTGGTTTTTATTATTATTTGCTTTGCTTTGCTTTGCTTTTGCCACACTGAGGATCCCACACCAGGCATTGGGTTATTGCAGTTTTACTAGTGCTGGCCCAGGGTGAGTGAGTCCCCTCTCACATCACTTCCCTTACCCATGCATGGCCTTCACTCACACTCAAGCTTTCTCTGTTTTTTACTCCACATGATGTTCACAAAGTACATTGCACCTTCCACACCACTACATTTCAGAAATTTACTCCTTTTAGTGGCCATTCACCAACAAAATTCTCTAAAACAACAAGAAGCTTTCATACTTGGAAGAAAAAACGGCCATCATCTATGTTGCATCCATCACAATCACCATTCATCCATCAAAACAATTTTATCCAATACCAAGTTGTTGAATGATTCTATCTACCAAATTTTTCTTATTTACTTATGGTGCTATTATATGGAGACAGATTATTAATATATGCTATGTAAGCTACAATTTCATACTTATACTGTATGAAGCACTGAATCTATGTTCATGACTCACACAACCCACAACAAAAAGCTTAACTTACAAGCTCTAAATCAAACAGAAGTTAGCAATAACCCAATTGTTCAGGCTGTTTCTTTATTACTTTTTACATAATGGGAATATTTATCAGTGAACAAAAACATATCTTAAAGCAACAGCAATGTCAAAGGACTTAAAATAGAGGTCAATATTCAAAACTTGTGGGCAACCAGTACATGTACTTGAAAATTCTAGAAGAGAAACAAGCATTTCTACTATAAATAAATAAATATAATAATAATAATAATAATAATAATATATGAAATAAAACCAAGCAATAAAACAAACCCTCAATGGTCAACACTGCTTGAAAAAAAACTGTTTGCCATTGATTCAATTCAACAAAAGAGCACACAACCCTGGAGCACAAGTTTGACTTCAATTTTAGATCTTTTCACCAAGAATAATGGGATACATCAAATAATGAGTTCCATGGTAGTGTTATAGGTAGGTAATGCATATATATATATATATATATATAGATATATATATATTATTTAGTATATTGAATTGGATAATACTTGCCACTTGGATCATGAATTTGTAGTTCTCACTTACGTACTTGGAAGCAACCATGCTTGTGTGGCTGTAGGCAAAGCTGCATTGAATCACACTGCAAAGTGGAGTGCTATTTTTAAAAGGAGAGTTGGCTCTATTTGGTAAGGAGTAGGTCCACCAATTATGTTCAACCCCCTCTCCAAGACAAATTGTTGAATTTGTGTTTTTTTGTCCTTTTTCCTTTTTTTTCTCCTTGTTAAATGGTATGATTGCATGAGTTTGGACGGGGAAAATAAGTGCTGCTGTAAATTTATGCAACTAGTCATGTTTGTGATGTCATAATTTTTTTTTTTTTTTTTCCAATCTAGTCTAAAATTAATTGTAGAGTGAAATAAATTAAAATAATATGTTTGACTGAAGTTTGTTGGAAGCATACTCTTTGTTATGAAAGACAAGGAGATAGAATTAAATGATGTTATTTTACCTTTGTTCTACTTGTTTCATATTCATGATCTTCAGGTTATTTGGTTATCTATTTGTGTAAATGGGAAATAAACTATTATATATATATATATATATATATATATATATATATTTATTTATTTATTTGTGCATGTATGTAGATGAAACCAAAGTTCATAGTTGGATGTAAATAATTGATGGGCATTTGTTGTCTGATGGTCCACAAGGAAACAAAGCTGGCCATACTCTCTGATTTTATTTTATTTTTTTGAAAAGTAGTGAACATATTTCTAACTTTAATATATTAGAGAATGTTTCCTTGTGATCAAATGTGTATCTCACTCCTCCACTTGTTTGTGTCATATACCACAGAAGAAGAAGCTTCTTTTTGAGCTTTAGTGGTGGCCCAAATACATCAACTAAGACACATCTATCAATAATTGGTAAAGTTGAGATTTGAATACACAAGTGAGTAAATGCAAAAATCATGAAGAATGTAATTTGTGTGTCTCTTTCAAAAAAAACAATAAAAGTAAGAATAAACAAGAGATAAATGAATCTAGCTCTTCCTTTTTTGAATGTTTTTTTTTTATTATTTGTTCAATTATGGAAAATATGTATGTGGATGGATTGAAGCTTCCCTTTCGTATCAAATCAACATATTTTTACAGAGTTTATAATGGCATGATTGTATTTGTGATTGTAGCCAATCATTTCAAATTTTGTATAAGGAGTTACAAGTTTGAAGTAACAATTGACTTTCATGCACAACTTATTTAAAAAATGAGGAACATTGAATGAAAAATTTGCTATGTTGGATTGAATTATATTCATATAAAAAAGAACTAAAAGGAACGTCAATGAATTACATTTTAAATGCATTTCGTTTCAATAATTTCCAAATTAAAATATAATTAATATTTTAATTTATCTATATGATCTTTAGTCTCTTATTTAATTGGCAATTGAGATCTTTTTTAGATTGTGAGAATATTTTTACATGCCTTTTTCCTGTTAACTTATAGACTTTCCAGAGGTGGTAAATGGACTTAGAAAATAAGATCACAACATTATGAGCACCTAAACAAAAGCATTCAAATCGTCGTCGGGATCCATTCCCGAGGCCCTTCAAACTTTCGAGGAAGACGAGGCCGTGGGAAGCATCGGCGGGGGGGGGGGACCTTCTTCATGCGCACGAGCATGAAGAATTGTCCTCCTCTTCGGGATGCTCCGTCGGCGAATTGTTTGATTGCCTCGTCTCTCCCTTCGTCTCGACATGAGACTCTCTTCGAATTCGTCACGTGATTCTGCTCGAGACGACGAGCGTGGGATCGACCTGTGGAGCGATTCGCCGTCGCTGCCCACAGACGCACTCGTCTACGCCCTCTGTTGATCCCGCTTGGGGGTCGAAATTTTGTTCATGAATTGGGTGTGAAGAGGTCAACGAGGGTGCGAGCCTTGTCCGATTCTGTCGCGAGTTTGCTGCGGCGATTCTCCTGGGGTCGAGCTTGATGTGGGAGTTGTGAGAGTTTGTTGGGAGGATTGTCCTCTGAGGTGGACAAGGTTCATGACTAGGGGACTACCGGAACGTCCTTCGACGTGACTGTGTCACTCACTATTCGCGCGACTCGTTTTTCGGGGTGACCTTTGAATTTGGGAGTGACGTGCGCGTTTCTTGACGGGTTTGAGGTTCCACGGCTTCAGTTCAACTCAATTCTCTTGTGTGACCTCTTCTATGTATGAGCTCCGCCTCGTTCCCCCCTCCCCTCCCCCTTTGTTTTTATTTAATTATGTTTTTTCTCTTCCATTTGTAGTTCACAGAATTTTTATTTTATTTTTTTCATTCTTCGCTGCTTAAATTTGTCAACTTCTTTTCTTCCCATTCGTTCGTCGTTGCGCTGCGAAGCTTAGACCGAAATTGTTGAATGAGAGCGAGAGCATTTGTTGGTTTCTTCAGTTTCTCTTTTGAAGTCAATACAAGTCTTGGTTTTGTGTTTTGTGTTTTGTGTTTTTTCTTTTTAAATTCCTGAGAAAATCTTAGGTAACTCGTAAGCGCAATGACTTGAGAGAATTGCTGGAGCTTGAAGGTTTGTTTTCTTCTCCCTGAGAATTGTGACCCCTCCTGGAGCTATCATCAGATCACGGAAGGGTCCACAGCTTCGGAAGCTCGCGTTTGTGCGGAAATGGGAGGGTGTTTGGATTTTAGTGTAGTAGAGTTTAAGCTGAGTCGGCTTCGCAGACATTATAAAGCATGTGGTCTAAAATCTGAGATGATAGACATCGACAACGAAACCAGAATGCATTGCTGGACTCCGACGCCGCCAATCGCCGAAGCAGGAGTGTGGTCCGTTCCGACCACAAAGCCTTCTCTCCTTCTCCTTCAAGGATTTGCGCCGGAAGGCATGCTCTGCTGGGAGAATCAGATTGCAGCTTTCGCGAGGGATTACAATGTCTATGTCCCCGATCTGCTGTTTCTCGGGAAGTCGGTTACGGAAAGTAAGCAGAGGTCGGAGACGTTTCAAGCAGAATGCATCGCGAAGATGTTGCAGATGTTAGGAGTGCAGAACGAGGTGCATGTAGTGGGAACCAGCTACGGCGGTATGGTCGCCTTCCGGATGGCGGAGAAGTATCCCGAATTTGTGAACAAATTGGTGCTATCGAGTTCGGGGATTTGTATGGCACCCGATAACGACAAACCATTGCTGAAAAAGCACGGATTTTCTCATATCTCACAGATCTTGATTCCATCGGAGGTGGTGGAGGTAAAGGCGGCGATCGCAGCTGCGACCGTTAAACCTCCGTGGCTGCCTAACTTTGTTTACAGAGACATTCTCAAGGTGAGTTTCATGACTTTGAACGAAGTTTCAGTTTTCCCATGTTTTAAGATTCTGTCATGCTGAGCGCATCTGCTGCATCGGATCTGAACGCTTGTGTGTTGGTCACGACCCTGTAATCGAAGGTTCTGCACGAGGAGCAACGGGTCGAGAGAAAACAACTATTGGATGCACTTGTCATTGGCACGGAGAAAGCGTTTCCTCTTCCTAAGCTGACACAGCCCAAGGTGCTGATTCTATGGGGCGAGCACGACCAAATCTTCAACAAGGAATTGGCTTACAAACTCCAGGAGTAAGTTCTCCCATCCCCGTCATAGATCTACCCACAATCACAGAAGCACAAAATCACCACAATCCGTCTGTGATACCGCGTCTACGCATTAATCGCAAACGTGGACACGGAGGAAAGAGTCCACAGTTTACTTGATTATTCGTTTCAAAGATCAGACGACCATGACAGGAGTCGATCCGGTTTCGCAAGGTTCCTTCTCCTCCACTTGCAATCCCGATCCCTCAACCTGTCAGATCTACAGACAAGACAACGTCATCGCCGCAACAGCCAGATCTCTCTGCCAAAGCATTGTCAGGCTTTACACGTTTTGCTCCAACATTGACCTCCTCGTCGCAACCATTGCACAGTAAAGCTGGCATAGTTCAGCCGCTATTTCCAGGACAGCAGTGACGGTTACGAAGCACACACTTCTTCCACATCGATGCCACTGAGCCTGATATGATTCCAGCGGGGGACGTGTTCTAACAGTGCAGTTGTTGGGGTGTGTGTTGTGTCGTGTTGACGCAGGCATCTGGGGAACAGGTCGGAAGTGGTGATGATGACCAACTGTGGGCATGTCCCGCAGCTTGAGAATTCGCGAGAGTACAACCGCATCGTGCTGGATTTCCTGCGGGACCGCCAAGTCACTGCCGCTCCCAGAGCTGGTCAAGTCGCGCAAGCCAAGTCGTCCTCGTCGTCGTGATCATCGTCGCCGCCTCACTCAGTCCCTCGCTCGGTCTCGCCCTTACGCCGTGCCACTACTCCGTCAACGCTGCTAGCCCACTTCCGTCGTCGTTCACCTTCGTCTCCCACATTCGTCGACGCTGCGTTTTCCGTCCAACTCTCCGTCGCGGCGCAATTTTTTCTTCGTTTGTGGGTATGCATGTATGGTGCACGATAGTAGCAGGGTTTTTAACTAGGTGGGTTAGCTACGGAGTGGTTTAGGGTTGTACCTGATACTTCACTTTTAGGGTTTCGGTAGTTGTGGTTACTTTTGGTTATATGACTTTCAAGGGTGCAATATTATGTAGGATTTTGCTCTTGAGTGACTGCTTTTTGGTTGTAGAGGAAAAATAAATAGGTTGTTTTCTACTTTCATGTGTTTTGTTTTGTTTGCATTTGTATTTTTTGGATGTAATTTTTTGGTAAATTTTTTTTTTTTTAAATTTTAAATAAAATGCTTAAGAATTGATGTCAATTCTTAAACATTTTTTAAATAGATGTTTTGAGAGACTTTCGTAAATTGGTAAAAATTAATACAATTGTATTTTTTTAAAAAATAAAATTAACTAAAGTTCAAAGACAGTAAAAAAATCATTAGTTTAGAGTGGTATAATGCTTTTAGAATATATATGTATGACTAAAATTATATATGATATTTAATGAAATATTATATGATTTTATAAATATATTATTATTTTAAATTAAAAATGAATAAAAATAAAATAACTGTATATTAAATAAAAAGAAATAAATTTTGTTTAAAAATTAAAAATTAAGAATTTTAGATGTTTGATAATTATATATATATATATGTATGTATGTATGTATGTATGTATGTATGTATGTATGTGATATATCTTTTATATTCAAGTAAAAGTGTGTGTATTTCTTTGTAATACAACATTTTTATTTATTTAAATTGTTTTTTTGTCCATTAAATGTGAAAGAATTGGTAAAAATAAATACTTATATAAAGTAGATTACTTTAAGCACCTACAATCTCCAATATTTAAATCTTTAAATTAGAATAAGACATCAACTTTGATAAAGTAAATGACTTATTTTTAATAATAATGATTATTTATTTATTTATTTATTTATTTATTTATTTTTGTTGTAAGAGAGCTTGATATTATATTAAGCTTTGGCTTTGACTATTTGCTTGTGGTGTCATCTAACTTACTACTCTTATTATTTTTAGCATGTACTAGTGGCATACCTTTGGTTGTATTTAATTTATTAACAAAATCATGTGAAGGTATATTACTACATTGTCTATTTTATAAGCCACCCAATCATCTATGTCTACTTTTATGTGTAGTTCACTTTTCTAATCTTTGTTTACAAAATTAAGAGCTTTCTTTGTATCCAACAGATTGGGATTTTATTAGGGTTACACAAAATTTAATATATTATTTTTATTATTATTAATTTTTTTATTGAATTTTTTATTGATGATAATAAATTATTCACTTAAATTTTGAATTTTTTTTAAAATCTTACTAAAGAGGGGAAAAGAAAAAAAGAATCCTCTAAGATGCATAATTTATCATAAAAAAGAGAGTATGAGTTTAAAATTAAATTAGTGTGTTCACTAATGTAATTTTCTAGTTGTGACTTTTAAAAAAAATTATTTAAAAACATATTATTCATAAAATTATAAATTAAAAATAAAGACAAAAGGTATTAATAAAAAAGTATCTGTAACATATAATCAATTATATCTTTTTAAATGTTATATATTCAGAACTTTACAGTATAAATACTATAAATTATGAACAATGATAAAAATTTATATTTCAATAAATAATTTTCTGCATAAAGAATATTGATGCTTGATAGGTAATTTTATATATGATTTATTGTGTAATACATATTCCATCTATACAGAAAAGAAGAACTATGTATTTAGCAATATATATATATATATATATATATATATATTATGGTAATTATAAACTAAATATCAATCTTTTAATTATTTTATGCATTACATGCGCATAATTGAACCATAATGATGCAATAAAATAATATCCTGTCTTTTATTGATAATAATCATAAAAAAATTTAAAAAATTACATAACTAACACTTTCAAGAGATATAAAGTTTTCTATATCACACCATCAACTACATAACCAAGTATATTGTGCTTACAGTTTACATTTATTTATATGCACACAATACGAATTTAATTAATTTTTTGAAGGAAGTAATTGTTCATGTAAAGTATGTTAGCATCATTAACTACAATTACAAGATTTTAACAATTCAAGCAATAAGCTACTTCATAGATTTATTGGACATTGCTTTTAACTTTATGAATTGCCATTAACTCTACCTACATATCCTTGCATAGTAAATTTCAATAAATAGAATTTGAAAAGGAGTAAAGTCGAAGTTCAAAAAATTATCAAACATGCAATCAAAAAAATCACACCAAAGTTAACTAGACATTATATTTTTAGGGATCTATATTTTGCCAGTTAATCATATTTAAGAACCAGTCCAAACCATTATCTATTCTTTTATTAATAGGTATATCATAAATACTAATGTTTAACATTTCAAAGGACTGTTCACTAGTGATATTGTGTTCCTATCCACATCTAATTTCTCTCTGTGCAAGGAAACAGTAAAAGTTAAAATATAAAATAGTTAGTATAAAATAAAATCTATAAATACCAGTATAATTTTCTCCTTGTTTATTAAAATTCCAAATAAAACTATTATAACCACTACTTCATGCATTTTTTCTCAACAACAAAAAAAAAAAACACATGCTCATTAATTGTGTGTAATGTTTAAACTGTTGAGAGGTCTGCAGGGGTTTTATTTATTTATTTTTTTTTTAAACTGATAGGCTGAATATTTTTAACCAACTTGTCCTACATACTTGCAATGATGTAAATGAAATTATTTCAATATTTAATTGTAATATTTTACACTTTATTTATTAAAAAGCATTAAATTTATCTTTATATGCTTTACTATGAATTACTTTAAATGCTAATTTCTTGTATAATTTTAAACCAGATATACAAAGATGTAAATGATAGGATAATACATATACTTAGTACCATTAGTTTAAAATTTTATTATTCTAAAAATATAATCACATAAAATGAAATAAAATAGACATGTTTTTTAAGGCAATATTCTATAACCAATATAATTTATTATTAATAATTATATGAGATTAGTGAATGAAATATATTTTTTCTTAATATATTAAAAATAATCATATCATTTATGTCTCTTCAAGTCACATATGTAAAGGAGAATGATAAAGCAATCCAAATTTTTACTAAAGCAACCCATCCATCATTACAATTTTGTACATAGATAGTATAAATTTTCTTCATCATTCAGATCATAATTTGTATTTGGATAAAGAATCATCATTTTGGATATAGTTCCCAATGGTTCTAAATAATTTCTAATGGCTAGTAATGACAACTTTTTATTACTCTTTTCCTACTTGTCCTATAAATATGTATGTACTGAATTTACTTCTTCATCTTATTCTAGTAGATACTCTTTTCTAGATAACATGTAATAGATATAGGAGAGAAAATTATATATTCTACAATTTTTTGCATTTTGCAATGGAAATTGAGAGATATATGTGTGCAACACCAAAGGGATATTTTGAAAATATAGAGGAAATAAAATGTAGTATTGATGAATTTACACACTAGCAAGGCTATATTATATGCAAATGGCACTTTAACAAAGATCACATTGATTACAATTGTGAAAGAGGAGAGGTTTATTGTCATCAAAATCACCATATTTACAAATAAAATACTGCAAGTCATTTAACAAGATGTCCATTTCCATTGCATGCTTGTTATTTGCATAATACTAATCAATGGCATTTGATTGTTCGAAATGCTCTTTATAACCATGGAGCTACATCTCTCTTTTTTAGGCCATTCATTTTTTCACCATTTGCAACTAAGCAAAAAAGAACTAGCTTTACAATTTCTAACTACAAGCATCCTACTAAAAAATATAATTGTTGTCTTACAAGAGAGAAATATTAATAGCAAAGTTATTTCTTAAATTATTTATAATGATCAATAAAAATTACATTGTATTGTACTTACTAGACAATCACCTATTATATGTCTTTTGGAAACTTTACAAAGAATTAATTAGTATTTTACTTATTGTTGTAATAAGAAGGATAAAGTTATTTCTTTATTTTTTTACACATTTTGACTATATTCAACTTGCAAAAAGATACCATTTTTCTATTGACATGGATTACACATGTAAGATGAATAGATTTAGAGTGCCAATGTTACATGTTGTAGGGATGACAAGTTTCAATACTTCATTTACTATTGATGTTGTTTTTTTTCTAAGAAGAGATAAAATCTTTCTTTTGTTGGACATTAATCCAACTTCAAGAAGTGTATGGAAAAATTTGATCCATTTGCATAGGTGTTGATAGAAATTTAGCATTAATAAATGCCATTAAATTAATATTTTTTACTTTAAAGTATTACTTTGTATTTAACATATACAAAAAAATATGTTAGCAAATTATAAAAATATTTTTCAAATGAAATAGAGTTAGGATGGTCTTTATTTCTTGTAGATTAAATCACTATGATTAGTGCATATTTTGTAGAGTTTTTTGATTTAGAGTGGACTAATCTTTGCAATAAATATATTCCTTATATTACTTATGCAACTATTGAATACTTAAAGAACACTTGGATATCACACAAGAAGATATTTGTTAAAGCTTGGACAAATAATCTACTTCATCTTGCAAGTATTACTACATCACAAGTAGAGAATCAACATTAAACATTAAAATCTTACTTAAAAGTTTCCGTTAAAGACTTTAGAGAAGTTCAAATTTCTCTCTCTCACTTTTTTGAGAATACAAAAAGAGAATTGAAGGCTCAAAAAAGTTCAAAGCAAATCCATATTATTCATCAATACAATATTGGTTTCTTTACTAATATTATCAAACATGTATCTTTACATGCTTTTAATCTTGTCTTTAAGCAATATAAACAAGAAAGAGTAAAAATTGATGAATACAATTTTTCCTACATAAGAATAATGACAAATATATTAGATCTATCATATAAGCATTAAGTAAGAATTTTATTAAAAATAGGAGATGTTTTGTCAATTAGTAACTTTTTTATCTTCAATGCTACTTAGTAAATGCTTCTAATTAGTTTATTCCAATAGCACCTACAATTCCACTTTCTTTTAATAGCTTACATCCACTTTATGTTGATATTATTCAAACTTTTGATATTTTACCTCTTCACCAATTAAAGAATCTATTTGAAAGATTGGTTGAGCTTTCAATAATAACTGTGTAATTGAAAAACCCACAAGTG